TCACACTCCCCTGTCAGCATTCACACACCCCAGCAAGAACAGTCCCAGTTCGTCACAGCGGCTAACCTGCGACAGACGCCCTGGCCCTGGGATTCTGAGGGCGAAACCCAGATCCTAAGGCCTGGCCCAGACTTAAACCCCTTCTGTCAGTGTAGACGTAGGGAATGTGGTGACCTCACTTATTTCGGCTTCCAAAAGGCTTCTGAGGTTGAAGGCGAAGTCATCCTGGGGGAGAGGCAAAGGATGGTCATGGATCTAAACCAGGCAACGGGACTAGATGGACTTTGGCTCTGATCCGGGGTGGGAATTCCTATGAAAACAGGACTCAAGGGCAACTAACGCCGAGCGAGGGCTCTGAGCCTGAGCTCCGAGAGGTGGGACTTCATCCCACTCGAATGTCAGAGGTGATACTTTACCTGGCAAATTCAGTTATGATGTCACTGAGCAGAGCAGGTGAGAAAGGGGAGGGCGAGCCAGTGACAACGACCTGGCCCCCATCAGACAGGCAACCTCTTATCAAAAACTGTCCCGGCTCCTTTAGAGGTACCATGAGAGTGAGAGGGAACCGACGTCTAGACGCCAGCAGGGCTGAGCCGATCTGATCTGTTCCTGCCTCTTTCGAGAGCTGGACAGAGGAGAGTTGATCTTGCAGGGGAGAGAGATTTTCTTGACTTTGGTTTGTAAAAACCTTTCCAGCAGCTCGTGGTCCCACGGCCAAGCGGGCGAGAAACACTGCCGCTCTCCCTTCCCAGCCATCGCCCAGTTTGATCCCCGAGTCGGTGGGCTGCCTGGTGGCTGACGCTATTTTCCATCCCGGGGGAGACGTAGCCAAGAGCAGCCGGGCGCGCGAGCCCCGCGGAGCTGGGGAGGGCGCTGTTCCAGTCCAGGGAGCTAAGCCTGGTAGAGCTCGGAGAGCAGCCGGGCGCGCGAGCCCCACGGAGCTGGGGAGGGCGCTGTTCCAGTCCAGGGAGCTAAGCCCGGTAGAGCTCGGAGAGCAGCCGGGCGCGCGAGCCCTGCGGAGCTGGGGAGGGCGCTGTTTCCAGTCCAGGGAGCTAAGCCCGGTAGAGCTCGGAGAGCAGGCGCGATCGTAGGGTGAGCGTCTGCCCTGCGGACTGAGGGCAGCGCTGCCTTTTGCCTCGTTCTCTTTTGTTGATTAGGAGGCGATCAAGGAAAGTTACGGGCGGTTGTTGGGCCAGAATGAAGCTGCGTCCAAGGACTCCTGCCGCGCCCTGCTGGAGACGCTCTCAGCTGCCATGCAGAAGCAGTTCAGAGACGGGGTCTACTCCCAGCCCGGGGGGTACGAGCTGTATCTGAGAGATCGGAACCAGGTGGTGGAAGATTTCCGCAAGACCCCCAACAAAGGAGTCAAGGTGAGTCTCTGGAGCCAGCCCGGGCAGCGCGGGGTTTCCCATTGGCCGTGTTTTCCTGGGGGGGAAGGGCTGGTATCGGACGCCTGGGCGCACACAGACCATTCCAAGCTGCGTGCTCTGCGATCTCTTCTTCCCAGGCGGAGGAGGTACTGGAACAGTTCCTGGCCAGCAAGAGGAGCGAAGCAGAAACAGTCCTCAACGTCGACAAAAAGATGACTGAAGCAGAAAAGGACCTGGCCAGTAAGTCATAAAGTCAAATAAGAGATTTGATAATATTGTATGAGAAATATTAATGCAAGAAAACATTCTTTTCCCTCTGTCCTTCCCCCTGATCTGCTCTGCTCACAACACGCATGCGGAGAAGTTAGATACGAAACCATCAGTCCTCTTGCTGGAAGGTTGAACCATAGCACGACTTTATTTCTGAAGATTTCAGAGCACAAACCAGAGAGAGACAAACCAGGCTGCTCCCTAAGGCAGTGAGGCACCATTCACCCCCCTTGATTTAAGCCATCTGCTCCATGCTTTGCTACAGCCTTCTAGCAAGAGCAGAGACCCCCCTGCTCTGATGGCGAGAGCTTGCAATTCCAACAAAGTCCTCAAGACCCCACCCAACCCGTTCCTGCCTCACCTTCCCTCTTTCAGGACTTGCCACCCTAGCGTTTTTGAGGCTGGCTGCACACACACCTGCTCAGATTCCCGTCTCAGGTACACTGGTGTGAATCCAGAGTGACTCCATCTGAAGGCAAGAGAGTCATTTCTCGTCTACACCGGGATAACTGAGACTAGAATCTTGCCCATTGGATGTCACTAGACCTGCTCCGCCATTTCCTTTGTACGTATTTAAGGCAGGAGGTTCCAAACGTCTCAGCGCTGGCCAACCTCTGCTCCCGGGGAAGGGAAAGGGGTTTCCAGGGGAGCAGATTAAGGCAAATAGGAAGGGCTTTTGAAAGTTATCCGGGGCCAGAACCCTCTCCATGTGCAATAGCCATGTGAGTGGGCACACAGCTGGCAGTACGGCCTTGCCCATGTGCTGTGGGTTGGGTAGCGGTGCCCCACGATGCTTTCTCTCTGATACTTAGCCTGCAAGGGTCCAGGGAAGCTGGAGACTGGCTCGCGTTTTAATTGTCACCTGCTTTGCCAAAAGCCCAGAAGCAGACGGCGGAGCTCCTGGAGCAGCAGCGGAAGGTGGCGGAGGAGAAGCGGCTGCAGACGGAGCGGCTGATGAAGGACCAGGAGCGCAGCCACCAGGAGATCGTGAAGCAGCTGGAGGCCAAGGTGGTGGAGGAGGCGGCTAATGCCCGGCAGGAGGCGGCGCGGGCGCTGGAGAGCAAGCTAAAGGAGCAGGAGGCCATGCTCCAGCAGGGTTTTAAGGAAATGGCCCAGATGCTGGGGGAGGAGATCGCCGACCTGAGGAAGGAAATAACCGATTCCAAAGGGCAGGAGCTTCTCAACATGGCGAAAGTCTTAGCTAAGACTCTCACGATCGCATATGATCTGTTCGTCCGTGACGACGGAGATGCCCCCCCCCCCTTCCCGGAGCCAGGCCGGCGAGAGAACCGGGCGGCGGGTGTGAACCAGGCCATCAGCCAGGGCTCCGCACGGCTCCGCACGGCCCGCTCCGGACGCATGAAGCAATGGGGCGTTTCGCTGCTCTGCCCCCTGCAGCCGGCAGCCAGGCCCGGCCCGACCCAGACGCAGAGTACGCAGCTGTGTAGGGCACCAGGAAATGTGGGGCACCAAATTCCCTGGTGCCCTACGCACCTGCCTGCTGCTCCAGCCCCAGCCCCACTGCCTCTTCCTACCCCTGCTCCGCCCCCGCCCCTGCTCCACCCCCATTGCCTCGTCCTACCCCTGCTCCACCCCCGCCCCGCCTCTTCATACCCCTGCTCCGCCCCAGCCCCACCTCTTCCTACGCCTGCTCCGCCCCCGCCCGCCCCCACTCCACCCCTTCCCCAAAGCCCACGCCCCTGCTCCACCCCTGCCCCACCTCGTCCTACCCCTGCTCCACCCCGCCCGCCTCTTCCTACCCCTGCTCCGCCCCAGCCCCGCCCCACCCACCCTTCCCCAAAGCCCCACCCTGCTCCACCCCGCCCGCCTCTTCCTACCCCTGCTCCGCCCCAGCCCCGCCCCACCCACCCTTCCCCAAAGCCCCACCCTGCTCCACCCCGCCCGCCTCTTCCTACCCCT